TATATTTTTTATATTATATAAATATATAATGTAACGAATATTATTATCATAAAATTCTGTGTGTTCCGGAATATTATCATTAATAATATTCGTTAGGCAAACTTTCACTCGGATAAAACCCAGGCGACGCCGTGTACGCATCCGCTAGTTTTATATAAAATTAAATTTGAAAACTATATTCAAATAGAGAAATATCACATTAATACCAATAAAAGAAAGACCTAAATTACTAAAGACGGCTAGAATAAGGCTGTAATTTGGCTGAGGGACTACATATTAACTTCATATATGTAAATCTTTTCTAGATGAAGTTCATTCATAAAAAATAAAGGTTGCCTATTCTGTTAAAACAGACGCTAAACTAATTGTGTCTTTGTCATCTATCTAAGATATTAATCTCAGTTATATAATTCACGTACCATGGCAGCCTAATAATCTCAGATAGGGAAATTAAAAGGAGACGGAAAGCCCGAGGGAAAATGGAAATTCAACAAAAAAGCTCTTTGAAACCAAATATCACTTTATCAGAAGGTTCATTTGGAATGTGTTGGTATATATATGCCGCCGAGACCTGGACTCTTGCAGAAATGGTAAAGCTACGGGATTCCGATGCTGGCGCAGAGAATATTATGGACTGACAAACTAGTAATAATTATATAATGAAGATGTCATAAAAATATGAGATCGAGGAGAGATATGGCCTAGGGGATATGGTTGAGAGGAGCGGGAGAAACTGCACGTTCAGACTTGTTGTCCGAAACAGTTACAGGAATTTCTGGGGGGGATATGGAAGAAATACCAGGAAGGCCGAGAATAGAGTTCACGGACAACTTCGGGAGAACACCCTATGATATTATCAAAGTCTTTCGATGCCAGTAGGTTCTGAAAAGACAGAAATACTGACAGCCACCTATGGATAGAAAGGAAATTGATGCATATAAACACTAATGGCTCCTTTAAGAACCCTCTCTCATAAGCGACCATACTCCTTTTAAGCGTCCATTATTTCTTATAGAAAGAGAGAAGAGAGAGAGCCGCAAAATATATTTTTTTTAAATAATATCCCACTAAAACATCTCCATGGCGTCATTTATAAACACCCAACATTGGTATAAAGTCATGATAAGCTCTTTTTCTTCATATTATCTTATTGACGATCTCAATTTTTGCAATTTTGGTCATTTTTAGTCGTCTTTCTCTACCACTTTTAAAATTATACGAAAAATATTTAGAAACATTTATTAGTAGTTCGAGTAAGCAGAATACAAATTTCGCTAGCATGTTAAACTAGATATAAAAAAAGTGAAATCAAAGCTAATAGTGTAACATAAGTACTCGCGCTGAATTCAGACGTATCTACTATTTTTGCTCTACGTGAGAATCAAATGATATTTTAAACTTAGTGGTTAACTACAACTATAGAAATTTTCGAGATTTTCCTATGGACAACTTAAGGAAGCTGTACCTTTTAGCTTGTATATCAGGATTCATACAATGATTCTGAAAGGTATTTTATACACAGTGATATTTATTAAAGACACACAAAATTGCCTTCGTCTCCATAAAAAAAAAAAAAAACACGGACGACCGGCAACATCAAAATATTAAACTTTCTTAAGGTTTGTTAATGAATGTATAATATACCAATATTTTCCTATGGTGAAGTCTAGCTGAGCCGCTAGGGCTCCGTACAAGTAATTATAATTTTTATTTTAATTCAAGAGAATTAAAAGATTCAATCTAACATTTAAAACGATATGTTTGATTATTTAAAAATATAATATATAGAAACATATCACCTTTTGACGTTCTATTGACCCTCAATTTTTGAATGTAAAATAGGTTTAGGACTCACTTTGATCATAATTACGGATTATGAGTGGGTCGTAAGAGTGGTCCCATGTTAGAGGTCCTATACTGGCTACGCCCGGGATCAAACTCCATCCTAATATGGAAGGGCGAGAGTCATTTACTTGCCCTTGAAGTTGGGAACGGCTTCCTACAGATGAGTTACTAGGTTAGCAGCATATGTTACGGAAGGCAGGGAGGACTATTAGCACAATATTTTACTCACTTAAATCCTCGGTGAAAGGACCAGCGGGATGAGGGGAAAGTCATACCTAATGTCTATGGAGTGATCATCTTGAAGGAGACTGATTGAAGAAGCCCGCCAGTCTTAGGAGTGATTGAAATTATAGGCTGTCAGTATGAAGGAAAACAACAAAAATGACAAGAGGTTAACCAGGATAAGTTCACAAAATATTCTAGTCAATTTAGAATGAAGTGAAGTAGAGACCCCAAGTTTACGTGGTGGGGAGGAAGGAAAACAAACACCATTTTTCTCATCATTCTTTTCATGGTAATAAATTATGCCATCTAGCTATCTTAACTGATAGTAACCCGGGTTGGAAACCAAATTGAAGTGGTTTTTGTTTATCAAAAAAATATATATTATTTCAATTGCCCATGATTTGCAACAGTCCAACTCCACTTATGAGTACAGATAACCGAACTTTTAAGGCACCTTGTAAGATAAATGTTGAACTATTTCTATGTCATATGTGGTGTGCTTATAGGATAAATTATCGCAAACATCCATACACTAAAATTATCTTGTCATCTATCTGCTTTAATGCCACAATATATTTGGGGCGGTATGCTGTATTTTTCAACGATACAAGCTCCTGTACCACTCCAGAGAATAGTGTAGCACTCCAGAAGATATTGTACCGCTACAAAATATATTTTACCTCTCCAGAAAATGTTTTAGCACCCCAGAAGATATTGTACCACCCCAAAATATATTGCACTACCCAGAAGACAACCAACCACCCCAGAAAAGCTGAATATCCCAGAAGAGGGGGCAATAAATATTTCACTGGCGTCTGGACTAGGGCCAAACTGAGGCTTGAGCACGCGCCAAAACCGGGAACAAAACCTCCGCGGAATAAGAAAAAAAAAATAACTGATGAAATTCCTGAATCTATATCTACATTTGGTAGATCACGGAATAATGCCATCTACACTACATTTCATTACCATCTCTCCAGAGAAACTTTTAACCGTATGTGATAAACGTCTTCGTCAATATTTTAGCCATTCTCTATATATATTCTCGCTTTATTTACTCTCCCAGCGTCATCTGGGAACCAACAGCAGTAACCAATCACCCTGGAGCAAGCGAGACATTTTTCTTACATGATCACAATAAAGCAATCAAACTGAAAACTACAGAGAAACTCATTTTTAAAAAAATATTTTAAAATATATATTTTACGGAAAAGTAAAATTATCTTCAATTACATATAAATAATAAACAAAATAGCTTCCTATATGAGTTTCTTGTTTTTGTTATTTGGTGTCGGAAGCCGTTTATTATTAATACGGATATTTTTACCGTAAAACATTAGAGCCTTCAAACTAGTTTCGAGAAGTAGATAACTTCGAATTTTTCTGTTTCGACAGCAGATGGTCCAGTTTATTTATCATCTTGCGCAACGTGGATATTTACAACTGATATTTTAAAATTGAAAGGCAATTCAACAATGTTATGGAATATTCGTTTTTAAACTTATAAAATTGATCTTTTGAATTCTTCTAAGATATCGGTATTGTGATGGTAAATCTATCTTCCTGTTTATAATATTAAATTCATTAGATATGAGAGACTCTAAAAGTAACCGTTGATATTTGTTCTTGATATTTTTGTAGTGTGTGGTATTTGGTTTCTGCTAGGTTGAATTGATGACCGGTCTGAGCAATATGTTGATAGATCATAGAACGTTGGTCTTTAGTTATGATATTTCTATTGTGATCATTAAGACTAATTTGTATTGATATTCCCGTCTCACCTATGTAGATAGCATTGCAGTCTTGGAATTGAATTGAATAAAATGCATTGGTTAAAAGTTTACTATGAATGCTATGAATTCCGGACAGGCATCTTCTATCTTCATGATAGTATTTAGAGAAGGAACAAAACTAATCTTTAAATCGAGAGTATCTAGGATTCGGGGAAAGACCTTTATAACATATAAACCTAAAACCCTCTATTTTGAGATTAGAATGGCTCAGCACTAAGGTATGAAACTAAAATTATAAAATACTAGCAGATGTGTACCTGGTTTCGACCGGGTTATATCCGAGTGAAAGTTTGCCTAACAAATATTATTGATAATAATATTCCAGAACACACAGAATATTATGATAATAATGATAATAATATTCGTTACATTTTATATTTATATATTACTAGCCGAATGACCCGGGCAACGCCCGGGGTTTACCCGATTAAATGCTTTTATTCAAATACTATTCGTTACAATTATAAATTGGCGCCGTGGGTGTCATTCTTGTGAAACGTCCCGCTCCAAACTTTGTGTCTGAGAAGCGATATTTTAATAAAGAGATGATCTGGCTATGTGTCTTCTGCTTGAATGAATGTTTTTCTGTTAGAATTTTGTTCCTGCGTACTAAATATAAACTGGCTTCACCCGTGGTTTCTGCTTTTTGGAATTTTTCCGGATATAATTTTGTATCTGATAATCAAATATGAAACAGCAATATTGTCATAATCATTTTCTGACTAAAAAAAAAACTATGATTTTTGCCCAGAACCTGTCAATTTCAATTTTTCTCGGCTAAAAATGCGACAAATATATCTTTCATATTTTTTTCTATGTCCTGTTAAACACGTTTTACACGTGTACATCAGGTCAGCTGATATTACCTCTCATCTTCACCGCTAGAGGCGCTGCTTGCGAGCGAAAGAGCACATTTTTAACTCAAATTTGCAAATAACTCGAAGAATATTCGGGATAGAGACCTGATATATTCAATATAAGTTTTTCCAGATTCTACTATACATATTAGTTACGTATTTTACGTATATTACGTAAAAGCATTCTATTCACAAAAGCAAACGATGACAGAATTGATGACTCTGATACTTGTATATTTTAATAATATAAATGAGTTTTAAAAATTGTAGAAGAAAAAAATGCATCGGCCGGGAATCGAACCCGGGTCGCCCGCGTGGCAGGCGAGCATTCTACCACTGATGGTTATAAGAAATGGCCATATTTGGGTATTTATTCCATTCACAAAAGCAAACAGTGACAGAATTGATTGATTGTCGATTATGACTCTGATGATACTTGTATATTTCAATAATCCAAATTGTACCTTAATATTGGATTTGGTCTTATTACCTTTCTGTTTATAATCTATAATCCAAATTGTGCCTTATCCTTGGATTTGGTCTTATTACCTTGTGTTTATAATCTACTAGACGGGTGACCCGGGTATCGCCCCGGGATTGACCCGTGTGCATATCTACCCGAGTGATATATATTTAGATAAGATTTTTTAAATAATTGTTTGTTATTAGCATTATCTATTTGTTTGCATCAGCATAATTTAATCTAATCTTTGATAGAGGGCGCTGTTCGTGAGCTAAGTAGAATAATTCGAATATATAGTTTTAATAATTGATTTATATATTTTTTAAAATAGCCTATCGTCTTCCCCGTATTTTTTACCTATGTATGGACATTTTGGTTTGAATTAGTGAACTACTGCGAATTTGTATACCGGGCATACAAACAAACAAACATACAAACATTCATTTTTATATATATAGATTAATCCAAATTGTGACTTATCCTTGGATTTGGTCTTATTACCTGGTGTTTATAATTTATAATCCAAAATGTACCTTATACTTGGATTTGGTCTTTTTACCTTGTGTTTATAATCTATAAAACAAATTGTGCCTTATCCTTGGATATATATTTTTAAAATATAAATGAGTTTTAAAAATTGTAAAAAAAAAATGCATCGGCCGGGAATTGAACCACCGATGCTTATAAAAATATCCATATTTGGGTATTTATTCCATTCACAAAAGCAATTAAAGCAATAAAATATATTTTTCGAGCAAACATATCCACTATCTCTACTGAATAGGTTTTTAAAATGATATATGTGGTGAGGTCTGGTAGCCTCTTGTAGAATCCTGTCGACTAAAACTGAGGTGAAGTATCCAGTCGACTTAATCTATGGTGTGAGTCCCTGTAACTCTCGCTATACTGTGTTAACCGAGAGGAACAGTCAGGATGGGGAGTTTTCCAGTACCTCTCTGCACCTTGTAAGACCTTTAAAAGTTCTCACAGAGTACAGGCAGTCGTGGTCGAGGCAGAGTGGGAAACTTGGGAATGTCCATACAAAAAACGAAGACACAGTTTCACTAAGAAAGTTCCGTGAACAGATGAAAGTTGAGCTAGGAGCGAAAGATGGAGATAAAAGAGTTCTTACTGCTCTACATGGTGGATCAGGTGTACCTGGGGTACAACCGACGAGGGCTCACGCAGATGGTGGAGTAACTGACAAGTGACTGTAAAGTGACTGTCTTTATAGGTTAAGACGAGGGCCTTATGCGACAGGGGCGTGGATCGTCTGGTGAAATTCTAAACTGGCGCCGTGGCAGTTTTCATATTTAGACCTTGTTGTTTTGTGACTTCCATCCATCTCGAATTTAGACGTTTTTGACTTCTAACTCTTTAGCTCAACTCTTAATCTATTGCAGAGTTTTATTTATTTATCCTCAGTTTGTACAAAGTACATTACATATGATGATGTAATGACGCATGTCAATCATGGGTATAATCATTTACAGATGTGTTTCTATTATACAACATGGAAATCTTGTAATAAGTTATATACAATATGGGGTTGTTGGCTTAAATTACCATAGATGGGCCCCGGGAGTGAAAGGGTTTATCCGGTTTTAAGCGGGTAAAGCCTCTCTAACACAGGTAAGTAATTAAAATTTATTTTAATTAATTCAAACTGTGAGGGTTAAAAGGGGCTTTAACAAGATGATTTGTTTGGATATATAAATGCCATCAGGATGACTGAGCACGGTAGATGCATTACCAACAAAGACAATAGATCCCTTATTTTCAACCATATAGACACCACTGGCCACTCATTGAATCTATCCTCCCCTACCACCATATACTCTAATATCAACAATAAATATCAAAGGTTAATTATCGAAACAGTTTTATCCATCAGTAACAACAGTATTAACAGACACATCGAGGTACCAATACAGTACCTTGACATATGTAATAATCTTTAGGCCGGCCACTTCACTCCCCTGATCTTGCCATAACCCCCCCCCCCCCCCCGCAGACCCCCCCCCCCCTCCCGACCCCTATTTCTTATAATCCTAGGATTACGCTGATGGCGGGTCAAATCTGTGTTCCTCTCTGTTTATACTTTTTTAGCGTCATGGTGTGGGTGGTATTTTTCAGTTGTTTGGCATCCAGAGATGTTCACGCGTTATTTTATTTACTATTTTAATTTATTTTATTTCGCAATAGTTCTATTAATAGTATGCTAAATCTTCCATAATTTTATCAATTATCATATCCTATATTTGTTAAATATTTCAAAAAAGCCTTCTTTCCATATCTTAATTTGTTTTCGTTGCCTCATACATAGTTAAAATATGCAGATTTTTCGCATATCGATTCTATATATAGCGTTATTTTCTCACAATACGTTGTACCTGTGGAAGGGCTTGGAGCCCGAAAGCTAGTAACTTATAAATTTTAATAAAGAAAACTTTTTCTCTACTTTGTTAGCATTTTATATAAAAAGTGGGTTTAAAAAAATGGCGATAATGAAGATAGCGGTCATGAAGATCTGCCTTGATGGGGGAGAGAGGACATGTCCAAAGATAGCAGTGACCTGGGGGAGCGACGTCATAAAGGGCGTCCGCTTTCTGTCTTTCTCGGTATCGTCGGGGGTTCTATTTCTGGTATGGTCAATCATGTGGGATGGTTTGCTATGTTTGTCATTTACTTGAAACTGATTTTTTTTCTCTCTACTTTTGTTGAGGTTGACATATTACCGTTATATTTGAAAGATATGATTTTCTCTGTGTTTTCGTAGTTGTTGTGTTTCGACGTTGGTTTAGCCTCAGTAAAAATGCTATTCAGTCATTTCAGGATTAGATGTTAGTGAAAGTGCGACCTTCGACGTCGACACGCTTTGGGGTGAGATGTGTCACAGGCATGAAGGCGTCTTTGGCCTGAAAAGTGAAAATGTTTTGTGGTGTTGCACTGTGACACGAAGTGAGAAGTGATTTGGAAAGGTGTCACGCGAAGTCGTTGTTTTGGCACAAAATCTAACAGTTTCACCATAAATAACAAATTTAATAGAGTCATCGGTGGCATTTGTACGAACATATATCAAGATATTTTGGCTGTTAGTGGATGTGGCACGTTCAATGTGAAAATTTTAATTACGCGTTTAGTGGACGATATGGAGCTTGTGTGGCTCGAAATTTGGATTTGTGTGTTAAGTCGAGCACTAGTAATTGTTGCCAATTGGAGAGAGTGATGTGTGGGAATGTTGTAAGGCTTGTTGAAAGAAACGTGTTGATGACAAATCATGCATGTAAAAGGAAAAGATGAGGGAGTGTGATTATGTTGAATTTTTAACTTGTTTTGGGGATGGACAGTTGTTTTTACTAGTTGTGATTTTGAAGATATTGTCTCTCAGGAGAGAAATCACAAAATATTTCAGGATTAAAAAAAAAATGCGTTTCACCTATGTTGATTTATATTTAAAATTTTGAATTTTTTTATCGTTGATTATGGTTGCTAAAATGATTCTTGTAAAAAGCAACGTCGTGAGAGTGACAAGTATATTTTGAATTGGGACATTTACTTAAAATGGTGAATATGACAATTATTTTTGAAAATTTTTAAGTATTTGATTAAGAAATGGGTGTTTTGGTATAAAGATAACTAATAAGAAAAACAAAAATAAGTTTAGAATTATGATGAATGAGAGATTGAAAAAAAAATATTATTTTTTTCAAGTTATAGCTTTTGATAATGTCATTTTAGGTGAATTTAGGAACGACATGTAAGATTGGTAAATTGGTAAAAATGCGTGATGGGCGAAGTTTTTTTAAAAGTAAAATTGAGAGTAATAACTTGAAATTTATAATCTGATCAAAAATTAAAGTAAATTTGATAAATGAGGGGGTGAAAGTTTAAAAAATTGAATAAAAATGATATAAAAAAAGTAAAATTTGATTTTAAAATGCTTAACCCGGCAGCGGTCGCGCCCTCTTTTATACCTTGAAAGGTCGCGGTGGGTAAAATTTACCCACTTTTATAAACCTGAATAAATCAAATATTCTTTTCAATATTTTTATTGTTTTCTATGTTAGAATAATGATTTGTCTATTAAATAACTTTACATAAAATCCTGAGATATAAAAATCATATTTTATTTATTTTATTAATAACAAATCAAAATATCAAATATTTATGATATATTTGACTATTTTATGAAAATAAAAATATATATTGAAGATAGGTTATAAAATATAAATTTGTATGAAAGTTATCACTTCCTTTCGTAGAAATTAGGACTTGTTTCGTCCTTTATGACATTCTTGACAAATTATTACAGAGTGTTCCTTACACAAAAAAGCAAAACAGTAGTGGCAATGTTGAATAGTTTTCTGTCATATTTTTCTTTCTGGAATTTCTTGCATCGATGTTTTTCTCCTATTTTTGGCTTTTTAGATGGACCAGGCTCTAACAAATTAAAAATATCGGATGCCTTTTCCTTTATTTCACATGGCATTCTTCCGCTTACTGTGCGAACTTTGACCATCTCTTCAATAAGATCTAAGAATAAGGTTTTCGAAAAATGACGTCTTGATTTAACCTTTGATGCGTTGCCATTTGCAAAATGAATTATCTGGGAATTTATTGCCCCAATATTTAAAAGTGAATAAAAAATAACCATGGGCCATCTTCTTGAATTTCTAGCACAGTTATATGTAGCTGTCATTTCGTCCATCATATCTACACCACCCTTTGTCATATTTATAAAATAAAAGGATTTAAAAGCGCGAATGTTTCTTTTATACATAAAACGAACTTCTACTGTCCTTACTGCGATTAAAAATATATTGGGAGGGCTTGGCTCATCAGTGGTGAACCCTCCCAGCGGTTTCGCCAATTTAATCCACCAGACCGCTTC